GGCAAAGGCGCACGGCCGGCATCAAGCGCACGTTTTTATCACGTGCCTGATGCCTGCCCTTTTCATTTTCAGCAACGCACGAGAGCGGAGGACGAGGACAGAGACGCGACGACGCTACCGAATATATATATATAGAGAGAGAGAGAGAGAGAAACTATAGTCTAGTAGTTGGGCTTGGCGCGCGGCACTTGTCGCGACCGGCATTGCCGCGTGCCGCCAATTAGGAGGCGAGTGGTGGGAGAAGGCGCGAGTAGCCGGCTTCTCATGCACTCGCGACAGTGAGTTACGCGACGCACGCGAGAGAGATCGATCATATCAGTCGGTGATCATCGCGGCGAAGCCTGCGCCCTTTTGTCCGGGAAGAAGTTGGCATTCCTCGACACATAAGCCGGACGGATTTTCTCTGCCAGCGACGCGACAGTCAGGAGGTTCCTGCAAGAAGCCACCATCAGGACGGTACCCGGCTGGTTCTTCTGCCAGATCACCGGCTGCACAGTAGCCAAGAGTTTTCCTGCCAGGCCGCCGATGGGACATCTTCCAGATTGCCGGCGACAGCGACGTCCGCCGAAAATTGGTCAGGTCATCCATTCCTCTCTCTCTTTATATCTCTTCCTTTCCTAGGCGATTCTCACGGTTAGCGTTGCGACGCCAGGCTTCCCCGAGCCGGCGTAGTTTTCGGCAGTGCGTAATTCAAGTAATTGTTTGAGCCGGTTAACGAGGTGACATGGCGCTAACGTGCCGGTCATCTCGTTTAGATTAAGTTTGCGCGTTATTGTTAATAGGTGTTTGTACTTTCGCCGGCACTCTAGGTAGTGCGTTGTAATAAACGGTTTATCAACGAGTTGTGTGTGTGAAGTTATTTTGCCCGCTGCTCTCCTTCCTGCTTTGGCTGGAGCGATACACCGCCTCCCTTGCCTTCCCCCTTTATAAATAATTGGTAATAGTAGTGAATATATCGGCATTGCACGCCGACGCTATTACAATGATGTAACATATGTGGGGTCCGATTCACCACCCAAGGTCATATGAAGGTCTATTTATTTTTTTTCTTAATTTTTCCACCCGAATGACCGGGTAAGGGTAATGTTGAGCAAAAAATATTTTAGACAAAAGTTGCTCAACTTCGACGGGGCCACATTCTCATGACCTTACCTTTGACCTTGGAGGTCATGTTCAAGGTCATTTGGAGGTCAACTTTGTTTTCTTACATGGGAACCCCTATTTTTGATCCCGGATTCGGAAAGAGCTGATTCACCCCTTTTATCATATGCAGGCGCAAGGTCGTACATTTTTCTAGCTTAACCATCCATGTTATCCAATAAAAGTAACATTTACCGCAGGATGTACTACTGAGGACAGTAGATAATTTTCATCGGAGAATCGAATTATATATTCAAGGAGATCGAAATGTTTTTGAACACTTACTGTAACAATTGACTAATGTGAGCAACTTTTGTCTGAAAAATAATTCGCTATCTCTCATAGTTTCCGAGAAAACCTACTGGTCCACTTAAAATGGCCTACACTTTATAAAAGTATACGATACCTACCTTTTATTATTTTTTATCATTCTTGGCGTGGTAATAAATGTTGTTACTTTAAATTAACTATTAAAAATATTATGATTTTTCAAGAAAAACCAATAGATGCAATATTGAAAATTGGTATTCTTACATCATGTGCAAAAAAAACCCTTCAAAAGTATAGAAATCTTGTATTACAATCAAGTTTGTACAATAAGACTCACAGATTTCTGTCTAAACGATTCTTTCTTGCACAAAAAACAAATCTTATACAAAGCCACTGAACATAATATAAAATTAGAATTTGCAAAAAATTCGACATTTTTTACCGAAAAAATTTTTAAAAATATATAAAATAAAAATTAAAAAAAAAATAAACGATATACGAACATTGCCAACAAGCCCACAATGGTTTCTGTAAGTCGACTACAATTTTATCTACACAGTGATCCGAGTCACATAGATACGCTCATATATGGGTAATTCTTGGCTATTTCGATTGACTTGCAATCCTTAGGTTGCGGATTTTTTTTTAATTTGGTACAATTGTTGTACACATAAAACTGAGATTTTTCCCAAATTTTGGAGACGATACCTTAATTATATCAAAAGTTATTAACAATTAAAGAAAAATGATAAAAAATTTTCAAACGGCTATATTTTAAAAACTAATAAATATATCGAAGTCGGATTTTTTTCAAAATACTTATAATGCCTTAAAATTTCGAAATAATTACAACAATAAACAATAAAAATTTTTTTTCGAAAGTTATTAACTTTTTGTTTAAACAATTGCTAATATCTCAAAAAGTATATTTTTTTTTTTTAAATTCTTGCTCCTACGTATTCCTGAGGATTTTTGCTATCGAAATCAATCATAAAATTCAAGGGCCCGACATATCGGAAAGCGTAGCCCTAATCAAAAGAAGATGCCTCGGTGTCCGGTCACAACGGCACCCGAGGTCCCCTCACAGTAAATAACCTCTTGAATGTCTTTTGGGCCTTTATTTGGTTTTCTTAGAAAAAACTCGATCAAGCAGTTACTCTTCTGTGTATTTGAAAGTTATTTAAGCATTATCTAATTACTCAATTATTCATGAAAATAAAATATTTTTAGAAATAGAATATGTTAAATGAATCATAAATAAGTCATAAATCGCCCTATTAACCTTCAAACTATCGGCAGTTTATATACATAAACATCTAATACATCTAATTGTAATCTAATACATCTATACCTATTAAGACCAAATAAAGGCCCAAGAAATAGCCGAGAGGTATCGTGCTGTAAAGCGTCTTCGGAGTCAGCGGGACGTCTTCGTGGACTTAAGCTGAGGCATCTTCTTTTGATTAGGGCTACGCTTTCCGATATGTCGGGCCCTTGAATTTTATGATTGATTTCTATAGCAAAAATCCTCAGGAATACGTAGGAGCAAGAATTTTTCAAAAAAAAAATATCTTTTTGAGAAATTAGCAATTGTTTAAACAAAAAGTTAATAACTTTCGAAAAAAAATTTTTATTGTTTATTGTTGTAATTATTTCGAAATTTTAAGGCATTATAAGTATTTTGAAAAAAATCCGACTTCGATATCTTTATTAGTTTTTAAAATATAGCCGTTTTTTAATTTTTTATCATTTTTCTTTAATTGTTAATAACTTTTGATATAATTAATGTATCGTCTCCAAAATTTGGGAAAAATCTCAGTTTTAGGTGTCCAACAATTGTGCCAAATGAAAAAAAAATCCGTAACCTAAGGGTTACAAGTCAATCGAAATAGCCAAGAATACCCATATACACTGCCCGTCAGTTAGTGTATGTGTGTCGTTCATACTTTTCCGCTTTGAGGGTGGCGCAGCATAATCAAACATTACCACCCCTCTCTCTGGGCGCCAATAGGTTGGCATAGCCCACTGTCTTTCACTCCTTCGCTTTCAAACATTATTGGAGATCCGGAAGTCAAGTTTGCTGCGACATCCCTGACGCACTCAGCGAGTCGGAACCTTTTTAATCTAAGGCGCCGACCTCCTCGAAAGGAGTACCGATCTTTTCACGGTTCGACGCTCGAGGAGAGCGGAACTAAAGGCTTGACCCTCGGTTTGGGCGCGACGGGACTCTAGTTGCCCCAACGTCTACTGCGTCGGAAGCACGCAGCGTACAAATCTTACGAGATTTGCTTGACCTGGTACCACTACCCCGCAGAGGCCAACCCAAATTGGGATGTCAGAAGAGAGACTCAGCCAGGACAGCCAGAGGAAGATTCCTAAGACGATCAACCAACTAAGCCTCCCCTCCTGGGCTCGCGTTCAAAATACATCCCACCCTGCGTTCCTGTATTAAGGGATTTCTCCCACGACTCACAGGTCCATCGCTTCGATGTGCCGGGGCATGTCTCCCCATTGCGTTTCGGTCATCCCCGCTCACGCTGGTGGGTATCCGTCATTCGAAAGGTTGTGTTCTGATTTTGCCCGAGTCTCGGATTTCGCTTTCCATGGAAGGCTTTTATGACTCGCTGATATTGATCTCTGCTCTTTCAATTAATTTTCTAACTTGGGTCAGGGGCGGGGTCTCGCCTAGCCGACAAGGCGACTCCCCAGGCAGTTTTCAATATTCGTGCCAGTCATGCCACTCTACACTGCCCGTCAATCACTTTTGCCATGCTTACCTCAAAATTAGGCAAACTTGAAAGTTTTGTATCTCGGTCGGAAATCATCGTATCACAAAAAACCGCCGGGCATTTTAAAGGTAATTGCAAAAGCTTCCATTTAAGACGTGCAGAGACTTAAAAATGAAAATATGTGTCTTTTACAGTAAAAAAACTAATTAAAAAAATTTCAATTTTTTTAACCTCGACTTAAATCAATGCCAATTTAGAACCAGGCGGTGGAGGGCAAATCGACCAGAGGGGTTCGGAGGGTAATGTCTTTCCCTTTAAAATTAGCCCCCCGCGGGGTTCTATCCGATGTTTTTTAACCGAGTTACGGCGTTTTTTGTAAAAAAATAACCTTTTTTTTCAATCCTCAATTACTTCGACTTGCGTACGTTTTGGAAATAAAAGCCAAGGAGAAAAAAGTTTCATTTTGTGCCCAAGAATACGGAAATAAAGTCAAAATAAAGAAATAGAGAAAAAATTTGTTTTCGGTTTCTTAGCGCATTAAAAAAATAAAGGAATTTAATTTTTTTTTTACGCTTAGTTTTAGTTTTTTTGCGATTTGCTACGTCCCTAGACATTTTAAAACGAATTTATACGTATATAAAACGTTCTGTGTCAAACGAAACAACGTTCTACCTAAAATACATGCCAATGCCAACAACTATTGAAAAATAAACTTCTTACATAATGTATATATTAAAATCTCTTTTCCTTCACTGAAATAATTTTTCGTATAATAAAAACAAAATACTTATGGAAATCATATTTGTTTACATGTAAGTTCAATTACTTTTTATAATTAATAAAGTAACTGGTTTACATTAGGGTGATCATATAACAGAACATGTGGGTCCACCGGTTGCATGCTGTTGTGTGAAATTAGTCGATGTTCCTGAAATGGAATATTTTGCAGTAAATAATCAAGGAGAAGTTTGCGTTAAAGGAACAAATGTTTTTGCTGGGTATTTTAAAGATCCAGATAAGACGGCTGAAACAATAGATCAAGAAGGTTGGCATCATACTGGCGATGTCGGAATGTGGTTATCGGTGAGAATAATTCTTTTGTTTTAAAAGGAAAACTTCTGCAAAGTAAAAAATATATTCTTATTTTTTTTAAATTACTTTAATTTACAGAATTAATTTGACCCTCTTACTCTTCATTCTACCAATTCTTGTTAGTATTTTACATTAATGAATTGAAGTCTCCTAAAAAATTACTATAGAGGTTATATTCGTAATTTTTTTCGTAAAAATGATTGATGAATTTCGTTTTTGAAAATAGCCACCTCGTGAGTCATTTATTTAAATAATTTTTTATAAACAATTGCAAATTATAGAAGAAAAATCACAAGTATTTTTATTTTGGATTAGTTTATAAATAGTATAGTTAGTTTTACGCGATCTAATCCAATATTTGCCTTGGCCTTAATGAGTTAATCTCTTTTCTTTAATTTTTTATGCTATTTTAGTGGAAGTAATTTACTCTATTCAGTTATTATCAATAGTATTCGAACATTTGTTCATGACTTCAGTTAAGAGTAAGTTACGTGTTTTTATGCTGCTTTCTGTATTAATAGTTGATTTAAGAGAAACATTACATGCTATATGTTTCTCAATGAAAAGAGAATATTTTTTCGAGTATAGTTATTTGTCGTTTTATTACCTATTTAAATTTTTTTGTATAGTTATTTAGTGGTTTTAGTACCTGACAACGTAGAGTAATTAATACTGGCAAATAGTATGATGGTAAGTCAGAGCATGATGATACTTCAAAATATTTTTTGTTTATACCTTTTACGATTGAAAAGTTAATAAGATTAGATAATTTTTTTGTGTCTATTGACTAGTATGCTGGTTCTCTAGCAGATATTACAATGCAATTATTATGTTATAACATTTCATATAGTTCGCTGACTCTAGACGACGTGGTGGCTGATTTTGATTTCCACCACGAATATTTCACATTATAATCATCTCCTGCTTTAAACTGATTTCCTAGTATTTGAAGAAAGTCTGTCCAGGTTTCTTTTGATATTTTTTTTTCGGAGGACAGTAAACAGCTGAGACTGTCATCGGGCTGTTGTCATTTATTATAACATGAGCTGCGTAGAGGTAAATTTCACTATTATATGTAAGATCGTAGTTCTTTATTTATTAATTCATTATAATCGCGGTACCTTCATATGCTTTATCGAGTGAGTGATTTGTTTTGTATACAGTATAGTTTGATATGTTGAGTGCAATGGTAGTCGGTTCAATTAATAGATCCGTTCGCGATTCTGTTACCAGCGCGTTAGTTCGAACGATTAAGAAAGAGAGAGGGCGCGTGAGCGTTTGAAATAGACAGTTACGCTTTAGCTGTTTTCGCGACAATACCGTAAAATTATTTTACACTGTGTTTCGCCGTGAACAAAATTTTCCGAGACGATTTTTTACGTGCGAGTGCAACAACCTTATCGTTGCAGCAAGCAGCAGCAATACAGCAGCAGCAAATTGTAGCGAATTGGAGAGCGAGGCAGCGTAGCTGATTTATTGGAGGAGTACCGATAGTTAATTTTTTCATCAACAATTACTGCTGATCATCGCAATTGCACCACAGGGTAGGTGCATCTCCCTTTATTATTGCGTGACCAAATACATCCGAAGGTATTTTGTCAACAGCGATATCGAATTTTTTTGTATTCGCGCCGAGTGTTAGTTTCGCGATAATTTTCGAATCTCTTCTCTCTCTCTCTCTCTCACCGAATATTAATAATTCATTGTAAATCCTATTCGCGTGCACTAGTCTTTCGGTCCATAAAAGACTGTAGTTTTTACTAATTAAAGTTAGTTAATTTTATTCGCCGAATACGTCATTTCTTTTCCTATTAGCTTAAGCGATTTGTAAAGGCTTAGGTTTTAATCCGATTTCAGCGGATTAAGCAAATAGTCACTCACACCTAAGATACATCGAGTGTCATAAGTCGAGTGACTTAAGGTGAGTTCAACTTAGTTAGAAAGAAGACACTAAAACGAAATCATCTGACGTAAAGGCGGATACACGTACAACTATACTTGTTTAACGGAGCAGCGGTTAGCTTTGCATCGTGGAAGTTTGTGCTTAAATAAATTTTCCATTTTGTTAGATAACCTCCCCCGTTACATGGCACCCAACTGATATTAGGACCCATTTCGTGCGAATAGGATGGTGCGTCGAAGGTAATCGACGCACGAGATAGATAGATAGTACATTTATTGCGCCAATGAGGTAGAACCCCGTCCGGCCATTTGAAAAATGCTTGAACATACAAATAAATAAACAATGACGTGACATAGAAAATTTACAAAACAGAGAATAAATATAGAATACAGGCGTTAACCTAAATTGGACGGCATAAGAGACAAAAATATAAAATGAAAATGTAATAGAAACGCCCAAATTTACAATACGAAACGCAGAAGAATATTAGAAGGTGCTCACTCTCCTATTACAAGACAATACGAAAGAATAAGATCCGGTACAATAAGATTGATTTACATAGACATTTACATTAATCAGAGCTGCGTGAAAAGAAACGTGTGAGGTGTTCGTCAGAAAAGATTTGAGTTAAACAGATGTTATTTATATCGCGCATACAAACGGTTCCATTTCTAATAATCGGTGGTGCATAACCTATGGATTCAGACAGTTTTCTAGCTTTTACAAATAATAAGTATGTGTGTTTTGGTAGCAAGTTTGTTACGCATAATTTACTTGAGGTTTGGGCCCCGAAGAGTAAATTTAAACCTTTATGAGATCTCGCTCTCTTTACAAACTCATCGCGGATTGTCGGCGACGCAAACTTAACAACAAAAGAATGAGATGATCTTTGCAGATTTATAGTTTTTACCATTTTCGGTTTCCATTCTCTAGTATACATAACATGACTGATGACATTTGCTAGATTCAAGAACGTGAGAAATTTGTTTACAATTTGAATGGGATTTAGCTTTACAAACGATGGAATGCCCGTTATAAGTACTTCACATGGATCATCACTTATTACGCTCTTATGATGTGATGTGATTTTTTGGCGAGATGGAGATATACAAGATTTTGATTTTGATTTTGAGGACGCGACTACGCCAGCATCCGGCTTTGCAGAAATCTTAGGTTGTGGTACATTGAGTTCAGCATGAGACCTAGCTGGCACTGAGATATGAGATTTCAGCAAAGCGACCTCATCTTCGAGCTGAGAGATACGCGAGGTTAGACTTTGAATTAGTTCAAGTTGTTTTGAAGATGTTTCGCTAACCATATCAATAACCTCGCGAAACATATCTCTGACTTCCTTTGTTATAGTATCGATATGCGTTTTTGAAAAAGATTGGAAACATACATTAAATTCACGCCGCGTAACAAATTTATCGAGATCCAGGTCAGGCATTCTGAAAACAAGGGCCCACTGGTTGCCAAGACCTAGCGACAGTTATATAATAGATTATGAGTTCCGAAAGATTTTAATTAATAGCGCGGGTGAAAACAGTGGCCCAGCAGAAAACTAACCACACACGATCAAGCGAAACTCACGAACAGGCCGGAGAGAGAGCGAATTCGCAAAGAAACGATGTGTAGGTAAGATAAATGCCTAAGCCACTTAACGGGATTTGTGGTATAATAACACGTCGTATTATGGAACAGAAACAGAGATAATAGGTTGCGAAGTCCACAGATAATCAATAAATAGGGAGCACGAGATTATACAAATACACGAAATTATAAATATATACAAATTGACAAAAATTATTGCTTGAGCACCATGTTACACGTTGTTTTGCAATAATAGTCCATAGAAACAATAAAATTCGATTGCAACTACACCACTCTACACAACAGGATACACAAAAAGACTTGATTTAACACTGAATCGTAATGTAAAGACGTAAGAGAAAAACGATAACACAGTCACTAGTTCACATATTCAGAGAAGACACAATTTTCACTTCCAACGCTTTTTGGTGTGATTGACTGCAGAGACAGCAAATGATGAACCCAATTCAGTTTTTTCTTCTGAGTAAGATGTAGAGAGCCAGGCCTTGTGTGTGCTTATGTGTGTCTGGATGTGTGTGTGACAAAATTTTGAAGGCAGATGGTAAAACACTCGGCTGATGCACAACAAAGAATGCAATAGTTAGCGAAAGCTTGGGCCGAGATGTCCACCCTGCCTGAAAAGAATTCAACTCAAAAAGTTGAAGAAAAGATTAGTATTCTGTATACTTTGTAGAGATACGAGCGGAGCCGTGATAAACACGTCCGACACCTACCGTGGCCAGAGAGAGAGAGAGAGAGACGATTGCGCGAGCGCTTAGGAAGGTTTGAGCGGGTGGTAACACGAGATCGTGAGCGGTACGCCCTCTGCAGCGGAAAAAACGAAATCGCTTCGACTTTTTTGCTTATAAATTGTTAAGTTTATTGTAAAAAGGGCCGAAAGCGATAATTATTAGTAAGTCGAAGTGATTTCAGATCGTTCGGACTAGTCAGGTGTTAACCCATTTCAGCCATAGTTTGGTGGATAAAAGGGGTTGGAAGCACCTGAACGACGATAAAGGTAGAGAGCACGACCCAAGCGTGCAGTCCACGAAATATTAGCCAGGCAGAGCAAGCAAACAGCAGGCTCCGACCTAAGGTAGGATATTTCATAATATTATTAGATAGTTTGCGGAGACTGCACGCGCTCATAACATCGTGAGGTTGTGCCTAATAAAAAGGAGGCATTGAGGGTAGTTGCACTAAATAGTGTGTACCCCGCTCATACCTTGTGTGATAGGAAGCGGTAGTAGTCGATTAGGTCGATAATTTTAAACCTCGACCGCATCCTACACCCGTGCGGAGGCAAGATGGCTTTGTTGTCAGCTCAAATCGACAATTGGGCATTAGAGCTGACCTCCGCATAGCACGAAAGCTACTTGACGGATCTAGAGCTGTGCAAGGATGGAAGTGTCATCCAGCAGGCGGCTAGGCTTGGGAGATGGTTGCTAGGAGAGTACACCGTCACAGATTTTGAAGAGACAACGCGCAGTAAAAAGGTGGCGGGGTGCAGGAGGCGCACCCGACAAGCGTGGCTCGACAGTCTGTGACGAGTTGGAAAACCTCAACGCAGATGAGATTAGACACCATCCCC